GTGGGCAGGATTGTCTGACACGATGCTCACTTTCCTTTCCCTTCAAGCTATCATTTGCAGTTGTTTGACAAATTTCACCATTAGGCATTTAACTATGGCACATTCCCTCATTTTCACTGTCCTCTAACCAATATTGTCAGCTGAAGTGATCTTACTAAAGCAACACACAAAAAGTGGACATACCACCTTCTTTGAATAGTACAACAAATTTCTCTGAGAGTCAACGTGTTTCAAAATCGCACAATCTGTAACTGTTTCATCACTCAGTATACAGTCTCTCTGTCACTACACTAACTTGATTTGAATAGGTCAAGATCAAGCAACTGCCACAGTCACACTATTGTAAGATTGGGCAAGACACTGAATATTAATGTTATACTTGTGATTATTAAGGTGGAGATGTAAAATAAAGCAAAATTATAAACACCTTTTTACTTTATATTGCACCATTAAGCTTCCTAAAGACATTTTCAGCTTATGTTCATTTACAGTAGTTATTATTCTGTTTTTAGTTCTTACAATAAACATTTGCTGAAATGATGGTTTCTCTGAATGAGGGCACAAAGAACAAAAAAAAATAAAATAATAATCAGTAAGGACACATTAAATTGGTTAAAAGCTGTAGTTTCTATCTTAAATGCTGTTCTTTTAAACTTTCTATTCATTTAAAGGGGTTATATGATGCGATTTAAATTTTTCCTTTCTCTTTGGAGTGTTACAAGCTCTTGGTGCATAAAGAAGATCTGTAAAGTTGCAAAGACTAAAGTCTCAAATCCAAAGAGATATTCTTTATAAAAGTTAAGAGTCAACCAAGCCTACCTAAAACGGCTCGTTCTAACACGCCCCCACATGTCTATGTCACAATGTGGGAAGATTTGCATAACGCCGCCCAAATGTTCACGCAAAAAAAGAAGGCATAACTTTTATTCTCGCTGTAGTATTGTTGTTGCCGCCACCGCTGCCATGTCGCGAAGGTGCTGTGTGTTTCGTTGTGAAAGCGAAACTACTTTATTTGGCCTTCCAAAAGAGGACGATATCCGCTTCGTCATGCCTAGAGCTGATCCGTGCTGGTCACTGAGGAAATACATCAACTTCGCGCTGTGGATCACCGGATCGGCTTTCACCGTGGACGAAGCGGAGTCCAGTCTGGGGTCATCACGTGGTTGCCGCAAGCCCGCTGGCCGCTCCTTCGTCGAATCCGCTGGCCGCGCCGTTCTCAAGGATGTGTGCAGCGCATTTTGCGGAGGATGAGGACTGTTTCCTGTGAGAGTAGCCTACAACGCCGGTGTCTGTTTCTAAAGGGGAAAATGTGGCCTAATGGTTAGAGTCGGACTCGTAACCCAAAGGTTGCGGGTTCGAGTCTCGTACCAGCAGGGATTGTAGGGGGGGAGTGAATGTACAGCGCTCTCGCCCACCTTCAATACCACGACTGAGGTGCCCTTGAGCAAGGCACCAAACCCCCCAACTGGCTGCCCACTGCTCCGGGTGTGTGTTCACGGTGTGTGTGTTCACTACTGTGTGTGTGCACTTTGGATGGGAAAAATGCAGAGCACTAATTCCGAGTATGGGTGACCATACTTGGCCACATGTCACGTCACATCCCATAAAGTGGGGCAGTTCCAACTTTGCAAGGACAGTCTGGTGCTTCTTCACAGCCTGTAAGTACGTTTTTTATATTTAAAGAATAGGGCCACTGATGTTTCAAACACGAGTTTTGAGCAGTGTATAGTAGCGCTTGTTGTTTGTCATTTCTCCGATCACAAATGCAGACATGGTTTTATGTTTTATGTTTACGCAGCGCGATACGCAACGCAACGCGTAAAAAGACAGTACAAGTCATTATAATCAGTAATTATGTCCCCACTGGATGCAACAAATGCCTCGTTTGTAATGGGTTATATTGTTTTTGTCTTGTCGCGCCGGGACACAGGGCATCACAGTATGGTAAGGTGCTGTAGGGTAAGGGGCGTAACATTTCTGTCACACTATTGAGGTATTTGGCCAATCACAACGCACTGGATAGCTGGCCAATCAGAGCACACCTCACTTTTCAGACCGATGAGCTTTGTAAAAATCAATGCGTTTCAGAAAGGCAGGGCATAGAGGAGAAACAATAATGTACATTATGTGGAAAATAATGTGTTTTATGAACCTTAAACTGCTTAAACACATTGCATTACACCAAATACACAACAATGTTCTTTTTAGCAACTTCATATGACCCCTTTATGAATCCTGGAAAAAAAGCATCATGGGTTCGACAAAAACATTAACACAGAACAACAGTTTTCAACACTGATAATAAATGTTTCTTGCGCATGAAATCAGCATATTAGAATGATTTCTGAAGGATCATGTGACACTGAAGACTGGAGTAATGATACTGAAAATTCAGATTTGCCATCACAGGAATAAAAATAAATGTTTAAATATATTACAATAGAAAACAGTTATTTTAAATTGTAATAATATTTAACAATATAAATTGTTTTACTATATGTTTGATCAAATATTCAAATACACAAAAAAAGATCTTACAAATCGCAAACTTTGGAATGGTAGTGTATATAATGACATTTATAGAATATTGACAGTAAGAGACAGAGAACTGAGAAAATGTATAGAATATTATCAAAAGGGTTTAAAATTTATATATATATATATATATATATACACACACTGTATATATATATATATATATATATATATATATATATATATATATATATATTGTCTGATTGTCTG